TGCGTGTTGGTAGAGGAATTGGTAGTGCATCTTGAATGAGTTCAGCAGATTGGGAATATTTGGCACTTCTGTCACTGTTTCCTGGAAGTGAATGTCATTCCTTAGCCGCCAAGTTGCATGGAACACAATCGCTGTGTTAATCCTCCATAGAAGTATCAGTTCTTTTTGCTCACTTCTCCAGTTCCTGCGAAGGTCTTGCAATCTTGGGAAGAGTAACAATCTCCAGCTTAGGTCGACGCAAAAGAACCTCGACCATCGGCTCCATAATTCCCTCCACATTGGTTCCAATGACGGGCATGTAAAAAAACAGTGTTCTACCGTTTCGATAGCCTGGCATTCGGGTCGGACACAGTTTTGAATGGTAGGATTCAGTTCTCTGAGGAAGTATAATCGTGAGCCGACTATGAGGTCTCCGAAGCACATTCGCAGCATCACATCATGAATTACCGGTAGTAGATATCCACGCAGAGAAATCACTCTGGACAACGTCTCATGGATCCGTTGTCGAGGACACCCCAGATCTTCCATCGGATGATGCATCAGCTCCGGAACTTGCTGAAGAACCACATTCCAGTCTTGCGATTTTAGGTTTGGAAAAAATCGCGCAGTTGGTCCTGTCGCCAGAGAGCCGCTTAGCTTGATTCCAAATATCGGTGGTGAATTCGTGTTTCCGACTTCCTGCATTCCTCCTGCCTCTGGGTGTGGTAACAAACGATGAAATAATCGGCTCATTTGATGGTAGAGCACGAAAATATCTTGGGGAAGAACTTTCGTCCCAAGTATTGGATGAATTTCAGAGCAGACGTCCGTGAAAAATGCCGTTGATGACGGCCAGCAGCGATTGATATCCAGGAAGTCGGCAAAACATATCTTTTTATGCTTTGCTAGCTCTCGACACAGGGCCCGGAAGGTGTTTGACCCTGACCCCAGGGGCTTTGCCGGGCTTGCTGGGCTTCGGGTGTTCAGTACCTGTAATTCAGGCAATATACTCCACCAAATTGGAGTAAATAATACCTTTTGTAGTGTTTTCATTCTGCTGTAGTGGATCGACTCTGGTGCTGGCCATTTAACTCGGTTCCACTCCCGTAGCAAGCGTCTCCACCACAGAGGTAGCATACTCGACCTCCAGCCCGCTGGCTTCGGTGGGTTTTGAAGTAAGAAATCGCTTGACCGTGGTATACTCGACCTCCAGCCCGCTGGCTTCGGTGGGTTTTGAAGTAAGAAATCGCTTGACCGTGGGCGTGCGAAGTTGCCATAGCGTAATTGGATCATGTAGAGCATTGGGCGATACCATACATTCTCATCTTCTTCTGGGTGTGTGGTAATCGCTAATACAAATTTCTGGAGAAGTTGAAAGTGCTGGCGACGAATAATAGTAGCTACATCAGGAACCCCGATGCCGTCTGCTTCGCGTGGTCTCATTGCCAGTCCTTTTTGAACGATACTAATCCCAGATTTTCCAGCGCTCACGCGATTGTATAACACATATCGGTTTACAATTCCTTGCCAGCGTTTGATGAACCGGGTTGGAATCGTCACAGAAGCCGTGAAATACCACAGTAACGACAAAATCTCTGCTTGGGCGATTAACCTTCGGCCGATTAAAGTTCTTGCTCTGCCTTTCCAAAGTTGGAGCCGCTTAAGCAACTTTTTGTCAAGTTGGTTCGCCACCAGTGTTGAGGTATCACAATTTCCGAAGGGAATACCAAGATATCGCATAGTTTCGCCGCGTTCCAGTGATTTTAACGGTGGCACTCGCGGAGCAGGACGTTTACTGTTGAGACTCATTATCACACTTTTGTTATGGTTCAGCTGAGCCCCAGATCCTCCACAATAATTATCGACAATTCGAAGCTGCTCTTCCAGCTCCCTCTTTCCTTTTGAGAATAGCACAGTATCGTCAGCGAAGAACCCCACTGGGACTCGTAATGTTTGGTCCACCAAGACGCCTAAATCTCTTCGAGCGCGTAACAAATTTCCTAGTGGTTCCAACGAGAGAGCAAACAGATAAGGAGACAATGGATCTCCCTGTTTCACTCCTCGAGTTGGTGTCAGCGAGTCTTGCGCCCATCCGTTAATCATTAGTGAGCATTTAGAGTCGCTGTACAGCAGACGTATCCACGCCAAAAATCGAGGCCCAAATCCTTGTCGTTCCAAAACACGAAGGAGGTACGGCCGATTAACACGGTCGTAAGCCTTGGCAAAGTCCAAGAACGTGACTAGTCCTTTGCGTTTTAGGGATGTTTCTAAGTGATGCAGATCACGGGCTAGCATAATTTGCTGGTCAATCCGGCGCCCCGGTATAAAACCCTTTTGATCGGGATGCACCAACTTAGCAATGTGTGGTCTAAGGCGATTCACTAGTACTCGTGATAAAATCTTGACCTCCACGGGCATCAGTGTAATCGGCCGAAAATTTCCAGGTTCAGATCGGTCTCCTTTCTTAAACAGCAGCGCCACGGAGGAATATCGTTGATGTGGAAGTAGAATTCCACGTTCCAATTGATATCCAAAAACTATCGCAAGAATCTCTCCAAAAACATCCGGGTCTAAACGAAAAAAATCACTGGTGAAGCCGTCTGGTCCCGGGGCTGAGTGAGGCTTTAGTTTCTTGATCGCAAAGGCAAACTCCTCCGTGGTTAATTCACTGTCAAGGTCTCTGGCTACCTCCGAGGATAGTCGGCGCTCAATACTATCAAGCAATTTTTGTTGAGACTCCATGTTAATCTCTCGTTCTTCAGCTGCAAATTGTGGGTCGCCGAATATTTTCCCCCAGTGCTCTTGAAAACCTTGACAGATTTCAGTAGGATCGGTTGATTCTGTACCAGCGGAAATTCGTATCGATCGAAACGGAGTATTACGAAGTTCGTATCGTGGAGGTCGAAAGAAAAACTTGGTACTTTTTTCAGCTGCAGTCACGGTTTGTTCAAAGCCCCGATTACATCCAAAAGTATTCCATTCGTCACGACATTCTTTGTATCGTTGTCTGGCGAAATAGTAGTTAATTTCGTCTTGCTCACTTGCATCTTCTGTCGTCACTGCCGCAGCACACTCTTCTAAACGTTCTCGAGCCAGGTTTATGTCAGCATATCTTGATGCACGCAGATTGTGTTGGCAACGTTTAAGGTACGCTTTCAACTTTTGCTTCCATGTTTTCCACACTAAACCAGGATTATTTGATGCACGAAGGACTGGTAGTAGGAGCTTGGCTTCCTCAACAATATCCGTCTGGAGCTCTGGTATTTGCAAGAGCCAATCCGGTAGTCTCCAGAAGCCTGTACCGGTGGGATGATGCCATGAAGTTAATTCTACATGATGCGCCAGATGGTCGCCTCCATTTTCCCACGCAGAGTATCCAGAGTCATTGTAGCAGTCAGATTGCAGATCATCTGACAGAAAAATGTAATCAATCCGATTTAACCTTGGAATCGGTCCAGAGAAAACTCGTGCAAGTGGATGGTGGAGCCGCCACACGTCTACCGTGCCAATTTCCGTTAACCACAGCTGTAGACTCCTCCTGCTTGAGTCTGTTCTGGGGCGATTCGAGCTGGCATCCACGCTTGGTTCCACTACTAAATTAAAATCACCGCACACAATGTGCACTGCATTATCTTCGAACTCCACAGGGAGCTGCTCGAATAAAGCCTTTCGCGATGCCGCATCGTTCGGTGCATACACGTTGTGGATGTAGCAAATTTTATTCTTCCATGGCATTCGCACTAACAGATAGCGATTGGGAATTGTTGCTTCCGACACCACTTTGGCCTGTTCAAGACTTGGACACGAGCCATGAATTATTGTCGCTACGCCACCACTCCGGGGGTATGTTTCTTGTTGACATTCACCATTTTTATCCGAGAAGAATACGTGGCCTCCGAACGTTTGCTTGACCAAATACTTAAAACGACTTGTTATCCGAGAAGAATACGTGGCCTCCGAACGTTTGCTTGACCAAATACTTAAAACGACTTGCTTGCTTCTCGTTTTTGAAGCGAGTTTCTTGTACACACGAGAAATAAAAATACTTTAGATGCGTTGAAATCAAAGGGTATCCGCCGCCTTTGATTCCACGCACATTCCACGACAATATTTTACACGACTCACCAACATCCATTCCGCTCATAATTTAGGTCGATGGCTCTGCTTCCATTGCAGATGCCGTTTGCGGGGGTGTCAGCAAATTAGTCGTTAAAACGGGGAGGTCTGTCGATGTGAGTGGACTTGAACGCAGTGCTTCCAGTCCTGCAATAAGTGCACTTCCGGGTGCTACTTTATTCGCCGTCTTGAGTATCATCTCCCCCACTGTGGATCTAAGTAGTTGTAGCAAATCTTGATCAGAAAGAAGTTTTACTGCAGTATGTGGCAGACCTTCTCCAGCGTGTTCTACAAGATAATTCAGCCACGCACGTTGGGTGAAGATTGCGGGACACATGCTCAGTGTTATCAACTCGAAAATGCTCAGCCAGCGGAGCAAATTCCACTGCTTCTGTTGTGCCTCTGACAGGCTGTTGAACGCGTCTTTCAGATATGATGTGTACTCATCACGTGAATTACCCATGGGGAGGCTGAGGTTAGAGACTCGTTCGTGAAATGTTCTGATATTGTCGTCGTCGTCCATGCTTTCCTCCGCAGAAATGCGATTCCACAGATGAATGCCGGCAAGGTCAAGCGTCTGGGATCCACCAGCAACCAGATCCTTCAGAATTGCCTTTGTCCACGTTAACGGGAACTTGGTCATTGATCGGACAATCCTGTCCATATTCTTGGATCCCTGAAGCATCTCTTCGGCCTCCTTGTAGTGCTCGGTATTGCTTGCAATACGGTCCTTCTCTACCATTAGTTGCGCTTCTTTTTCGGAAAGTAGCAGCGCTTCTTGTATTAGTAGGTCCTCACTATCATCATACTGGGTAGGTTGAGTCGCTCTCTTCTTGGTAGGAGCTGGTCCATCGATGCTTCCACCCTTCTCGACGTTTAAATGCGGGACGATTGCAATTCCAGCAGAAACACCCCGTTCCAGTTCAGGGTGGATGACCTCAAATTCACATTCCGGTAGTTCAAGCGCAGCAAATGGGTTCTCGTGAGCGAAGGACGGTTCCAAACGCTTGAATCCTGATTCAAGCTGCTTGTCCATATCAGTATCGGGGTTTGACTCTCCTGCGGAATTCCAGTTTGCGCTAGATTGTTCATCAGCGCATGGTTGCTGATTCTCCTGCAAGTTATCCGCGCGAGCATGGCTTTGACCAGAAGAAATGGGTTCTTTTCCTTGACCATGACTCGGCTCCGTAGTTGCTGTTGTAGCGTCTGGGAGGCTCGCGTGCACCGTAATGGGGTGGGGTGCTGATTCTCGCTGAGATTGCATTTTCTTGTCGCGTGGAGCGAACTCCATTCACTTGAGTGCTGTCTCCAAAGGGTAGCACAACGGCGTAACTGGACTGGCGATAGGAAGAAGCTCTCACTGGTGGTTCCATTGAGTGTTTTCCTCTAGCCACGTAGAAGTGTCGGCCATGCACGAGTTGGTGCGTGACGTACTGATGAACCATTAAACACGATGGAGGTGTAGCCGATCCGAAGTAGAAACGCCATGTAGGTGTTACCACTTGTGTCTCAAGGTTGACGTCTCGTGGAGTCAGGTACAATGGACGCGCCCCCAGAGCAGAAAGCCCCAGGAATAACGCGTTCGCTTCGTTCATAGAGTGAATGCCAGAGACGTCCAGATAGAACTTGTTCATCAGGAACGACTGACGCTTGATCGTGAACTTTTTGCCGAGCAAGTTGACTTCCTCTCCATCTAGCTGCGCTTCAAATTCTGCCGCGCGAACATGAATAAGAATGCCACCTGAGGGGATCTTCTCCAGCATCGCAACACCATGGTGCGATAGCACGTCCTTGACCGTCTCATTGCCGTGATCCTGGAGGAACGACTTCAAAATCACAGGCACCGCCAGGTTGGAGCAGTATGAGCCGGTGTGGAGCACTACGGCGTGGCTGGTAGGGGCCGGATTGAAGGCCCGTTGTTCTGTCACAATGGCAAGGTATTCTTCGGGCGAGGTGTCTTCTCTCTCGTAGGCCTGGGCAAGTGTTGCTGCTGCTTCCTCCGACACGGGGGGTGGGGGGTTCAGACAGCAAGGACATCGCAGACCGACGGATCCGTGAGTACTCTTGCGCGCGCAGGTGATCGGCCATCGAGGTGGCCATCACCGCCATGTTTCTTCAGAAGGGAAGGGTTAGGGTTCGATGCGAGCGGTATCCTTCCAAACGAGAAATCAGACCTCAGCTGATAACAAGGATGCAGCACAAAACAACAAGTACACCGATACGGACATCAAGTTACACCTGAGGGGGAGTGTTAAGCCTGAAGCCGGCGAAGACGAAGAGAGAGTTATCCCAGCTGCAGCTTTAGTTCCTATTATGGGTGCAAAGGGAAATGCCGCTGCCCATAACGCAGGAAGAAGAGGCCCCATGTCACGCAACGGATTAATTGCTCTGTTTGTCGGTTGGGGACTGTTGGCCAGCTCAACACTTGCTTTAATTTTGCACTTTAAATAGTACAGATCTACGTTCGTGAAAGCGTAGTTATCTTCTACAACTAATCGAAATGGTCTTCTACTGCAACAACATCATTTACTCTGCCAAAGTTTGATTTACACATATCCCTCTGTTTATTGTGATAGATCACCCTCTTCGCTACATTTGTTCATATATTTGGTTAAACTAAACGCATAATAAACGGGCAAACTCCAAATTCTCGGTGGTAAAGCCTTTTAACGCAGTTTAAATTTGGGTGCTGTTTCAGATAAGGCGCTATGTCTGATGGAATATGATTGAAGACTAAATGGGTGCAGCTCATAGGACACTCACACATTTTTTACTAAAAGAGACTATGGGTACAAAACGATATGAGACAGCTTACTTCAGTACATGTACTTCAGAAGTACATGTTGTAGAAAGTTACGACAAGTATTACATATACCATCGTACAACAGGTATTCCGTGCGAACAGATGCATTTGGTTGAGCCAATCGTTGCCGAACATCTGCTCCAAATCTATGTCCTGGAGGTACATACCTCGAAGTATGTATTTTTAAATACAGGCGTTTGCTACACCATCAGTTGGTTTCAACAACGGTGCAAGCACTAACCAACTCACAGTGTTCACTTTTCTGTGTCAGTTTTGGAAGACTTCTTCTCAGTATTGCAGATCACTTTAAAGTGCTGAAGACTGCAGAAAGCCAGCAATTGTTGAGTTCCGTAAGCAACAGCTTAGGATATGCATGGTACAACTTTTGGAATCATGATAGAAATTCAGATCGGACACCGGCTATATTAATAATACTGTATTATTACTACACTACATGTACTTGTTTTATTGTTGCACAATCGTTGCACCCGCCACAATG